CTTTAAAAGCACGAGTTTGAGAAAATTTTTTGATATACAAAAATACCTTTAGGACTTAAATACTAATAATATCAAATCATAAAAATACCTTTAGGACTTAAATACTAATAAAATCAAATCATAAAAATACCTTTAGGACTTAAATACTAATAAAATCAAATCATAAAAATAACCTTAGGACTTAAATACTAATAAACTCAAATCATAATCTATCCTAATCCAACAATTTGAAAATCTCCTAATTCGAATAATTCCATCACGTGTGATGGCCCATAACTTCCTTTTTATCATCAAAACAAATGATGAGATTTTTGGCCTATAAATAGGAGTGTAATTTACTTGAAGAAACACAACGAAAATAAATATGAATCAAGCCCCTTACCCACTACCAGAGCCCCCCTCAAAGAAATTCTTATTCTCTTCTTCTCTATGAATGAACATTGGTATCAGAGTTCGTTCGATCTCAACGTCTCCCCTCGAGTTCTGTGTCGAACGCCGACGATGATTGTTGCGACCGCTTGATGGTCGCCATCGATCTCTGAGCCACCGATGTCTCCGTCTCCGTCGACCTTAACCAACCACCCTGCAAAGACGACGACCTCGATCAGATCTGACCTCGATATCATCCTCCTAACCTCTCTGATTTAGATCGAGCAAAAGAGATAGATCAGTCGCCTCTTGAAATTCGTAGCTAAACCTAGCTCGAGATCGGGATTTTTGTAACCGCAGCGTGGCTGTTAATTCAGTGGGACTTAGGCCTGGAGTTGAGCTTAGTATCTAATGTTATGTTCAATCCTAGTTGTGTTTTATATAGTCTAACTTGTTGGGATGTAAAACCCCGTAGATTTTGATAATTTATATATGTTACTATTAGTGAGGAATAATATTTATTTATGATAAATATCTTTATGATATGGTTGCTCATGAAATCTAGCTTTTTTTGAGTTTATGAGGATGTATATGTGCATCAGTTATGAGGTTGAGTTTGCAAACTTGCAAAATCATAAGCATCAGTGTCGAAGAAACTCAGTTCTCAGCTCATGAGTCGACCCATGACTATCATGAGTCGACTTATGATATCATCTCCCATTGTCATAAGTCTCTGCTGAGTCGACTCATTATATTATGAGTCGACCCACGAGTCATGAGTCGACCCATGACTATCATGAGTCGACTCATCGGGGTTTTTCTGGGTCGGGTTTGTTTGGGTTTCGGGTCGGCTTTTAGCCACTCATATATGTTTCCCTCCACCCGAAAACACTCTTGTTCATCAGAAAACCCTAGAGAAACCCTAGCCTCCTCTCCTCCTCTAAACCCTAGCTCGTTTTTGGGATTTTCTTGGGCGATTTTTTTGGGGATTTTCAGCGGCTTTTCGTGGATTGCAGCGAAGGGGATTGTTCATCATCACTTCTGTTCGCGGGAAAATTCGTTGCTTTCTTTGTTATTGATTCCATTGTCATCTTGAGTTACAACTTTTTGAGTTACAAAAGATCCGGTCTTTTTATAAGATCCGGTTACAACGAAAATCAAACAAAAATAAACAAAGATTACAACTTTTCTCCTTTTGTGTCGAACGAATCGCGAGCTCCTGTTTTGCGGTCGCTCGCTTGGTGGGTTCTTTGCCTGCGCCGGGGTTGTTTGCCGTGGACCACCGCGAGATCTAGATCCGGTCGGATCTACGCAGTACGACGGGTATTATTTCACCAAGGAAATAATAGCCGGGGAGGATTGTTTCACCAAGGAAACAATCGTCCAAGTCTCGGGATCTAAGACCAAGCTTAGATCCGGAGTATGCCTGCGTAGATCTGAGATCTGATCCTCTCGAACACCTGCCTTATTTGACGTTGATGATCGCCGAGCACCAGATCTGAAGGAGTGAGTCCCCGAAGTCCCAAAGTTTCAATCTTTTTTAAGTTCCGAGTCTCCAATCCAGCAGGGCTTCGCCTCTCTCCAAATTTTCCAACCCTTGAACAAATGAACCAAGGGGGCCTATTTATAGGTTCCCTTTACTGTGCCCGCGAAATGACAACTGTCGGCTACCTCTGGGTGGCCGCGAAATGACAACTGTCGGCCACCTCTGGGTGGCCGCGAAATGACAACTGTCGGCCACCTCTGGGTGGCCGCGAAATGACAACTGTCGGCCACCTCTGGGTGGCCGCGAAATGACAACTGTCGGCCACCTCTGGGTGGCCGCGAAATGACAACTGTCGGCCACCTCTGGGTGGCCGCGAAATGACAACTGTCGGCCACCTCTGGGTGGCCGCGAAATGACAACAGTAAATCTGGATCCTGATTAGGCAGTAAATCTGATTCCTGATTTGGCAGTAAATCTGGATCCTGATTAGGCAGTAAATCTGATTCCTGTTTTAGCAGTAAATCTGGATCCTAATTAGGCAGTAAATCTGGATCCTGATTAGGCAGTAAATCTGATTCCTGATTTGGCAGTAAATCAGGATCCTGATTAGGCAGTAAATCCGATTCCTGATTTGGCAGTAAATCTGGATCCTGATTAGGCAGTAAATCTGCTTCTGAGTTCGAGTCCGAAACTGATCTTGATTCGATCGTGATTCGTCCGAGTTTGTCCTTGGTTGGATCACTCGTTGACTCTTTAACACTTGGCTTGATTCCAAATGCGAACGGATGTATTCCGTTGCTTGCGTGCGATTCGTCGATCTCGTCGCCTCGTTGGTTCGTCGGTTTGTGCCGAGCTGTGCTAAGGGACCTATAAGCAATTTTATATGCCTACAACTGGGTGTAACGAGGAGTACGTTATCCTCAGTCGCATGTTCGGGTTATCCTTAAGAATATAAGATTCTCCAGGAACTCCCCGTTACATAAATCATCCACTCCCAGCTTCCTTTGCGAAACCGGGTTTAACATTGTACTTAGTTGGATGACCGAGAAGTAGTTTATACTCATATACTCTTTGGAGTGAGATGGAGAAGTAGTTTATACTCGTATACTCATCGGAGTCAAGGAAAACAGTTTATACTCGTGTATCCAATGGAGTATGAGTCGTCTTTACTCGGCTTGTTTCGCCATTATGATGCCGGTGTCAATTAGGGCTTGGATTTT